GCCCTGGCAGATAGAAAAAGAAATCAGGAAACAGATTTTCCCAGGAAGAAGAAAGAAAGAACACATTCCCTCCCGGGGGCTGGGCGTGTGGGAGGAGCTCACCACTTTATTTACTAATTTATTTGTCTTTTGGAGACAGGGTCTCTATGCAGTTCAGGCTGGCCTTGAGCTTACTTGTAGCCCAGGCTGGTCTCCAGCTTGCAAAGAGCCTCCTGCCTCTCTGTCTCCCGAGTGCCGGCATTACAGGCCTGCGCCGCCACGCCTGGCTCCATGCACTTTATATTCATATTTTGACTGCAAACGGCCGCCACATTCAGCACCATTTCAGACAAACACCACGCACTTTTAAAAACGTGAGCCTGTCCTGCCCAATCTTTCAGACGCTACAAAATCTTCATCACTTATTCACGTGGAAACGAAAAGTGGGCACCCCCTGCTCTATGGGATGACATTGTTTGCAAATGATGCATTGCCTCGCCCCCTTCTCTCCCACCCAGCTGGGGACCCCAAGGCTGATTGCACACCCCATCCAAGTGGTGGCTGGGAGGGGTTCAGGGCACACGTCCAAGCCTGTCCACCAGGGCGGCGCTCGCGGGCGGTGGTGGTCAGGGCCTAAGCCTTTCTACTCAGGTCATGGCCTGCCTGGGTCCCCACCAAGGGCGGGAGGAGACGCTGGGAGGGGCCAGGGCAGGGGCAGAGGAGGGGACAGAGGTTGTGCCTTACCTGTGACTTCTTGATGTCAGACACGGCGTAGTTACCCTGCGACACCCAGCGCGCAGACTCCGTTACAGCCAGGCCAGTGCCCGCGAGGTCGATGCTGAAGCGGCCCTGCAACACAGCGATGGGGATGGGGAAACTGGAGCCACTAGCGCCCAACAGCCAAGTCCTTGGCCCACTCTGAATGACCGGACTCCTGGGACCAGTGGCCACCGTGTCCGTGTCCTGCCCGGGATGGCCGGCAGGGCGCACGTGTGGCCCTGCTCCACCATTGCGTCTGTCTGTCTGTCTGCTTTCACCAGTGAGTCCCCCCACAGATCTGCAGCCCTGAGTTCTGCAGACCGGCGGGGGGCGGCTGCGCTTGGCAGGGGGTGGCTGAGCTGGGCTGGGCCTCTTTGGGGACAGCATGGCCTTGTGGTTCCCAGCATGTGTGGGTGCTGCTTGGGTCTGAGAATCCGGTTACCCGGCTTTCAGAGGAGCCCCAGACTGCCTGTGCCTGAGGCCTCTCCCTGTACGCCCCGCCTGTACAAGCCTCTGGACAGTTAGTTCTCCAACACGTGTGGGGACAAATGAGGGTTCTCCCCTTCAGGGAAGGGTAGGCAACATCTAGTGGTTTCCTGGCTGTCACTGTGCAGGGGAGGGGACACTGCAACCTGTGCCAGGGAGACCAGGAATGTGGATCAGTCAGCTCACAGGTACGGGACAGCCACACCTGGAGGCCACTGTTCCAGCGCTGCTGGGGGCTGGGAGGATGGGGGATGACCCACTGGGGCTTCGTGTGCCCTTATAAAATGGGACTTGCTGTGCGCAGAGGCGTGGACACTGCTGGGGCAGCACAACGTCCACAAATAGACTGATGCTGGAATGGCTCCTCTGCAGGCGCCACCCCAGGTGTGAGGTTGGGGCTGCCCCTACCCCCCCCAATTCCGCCTGCTGCTGGCCTTGTGCCTCACGGTTGCTACCACTCCTGTGCAGAAGGGCAGGGCCCGCAGCCACCCCACAGGGTCCCTGCCTCCCAGTGCAGGATGCAGAATAAGCAAGGGACATTGAAAGGATGTGTAGGCAGAAACCCAGGCCCACCCGTGTGTGGTGCAGCCAGGGCGATGGGACGCGTGAGGGCGTGCACCGGGGCTGTCCTGGGACAGTGTGGTGGGACAGTGTGGTGGACATGTACTCCCAGGAGCTGTGGGGTTTAGGGTGAAAGAGGTGGGGTGTGCACAGGGGTAAAGGCTCAACCTGCAGGTAGAAAGTCATTTCCCAGACGAACTGTCTCAGGAGCAGAGAGAAACGAGGAACATTTAAGCCAGGCTTGTGTCCCAATGCTGTGGCTTTCCGTAGAAGCAAAGCCTCAAAATCCCGACACCCCCTGACTCCTCTCTCGCATCTTTCATTTGTTCTACCTGCTGCACCACATTCCCAATTCCAGGTCACTGGGTGACCAGAGGATCTCCCTTCCACCTCCCCATCTGGCTGTCAGAGTGCCTGTGTCACCTGCTCAGTGGGTGGCAGCACAGGGTGGGCAGGCTCCAGGGCTGGAGATGCCCTGAGCTGGCACCTGTGCGGAGGGCGCTCCTCCCCTAGGGCTGCTCACATTGTGGGTGACCAGCCACATGCGAAGCGTGCTGCCTTCCCACCTGCTCCAATCGGGGGCCGCCGGCACCTCCAGCTCTGGCCCAGCTCCCAGCTGAGTTTAGCACCCTAAAAGCAAGGACCGCCAGAAGAGCAAAGACACTCTGTGCTTCACAGCTGAGTTCTGGGACATCCCTGCCCAGAAGTCTTTATTCTCAATCCTAGAAGGCATCAGAGCTGTAGCGAGATTTGCTGTAGATTTAAAAGAGGGAAAGTAATCAGGGTTACACGTGCCCTCGACTAGTGATGCCTCAGCAGGCTGTTTCTATCACTGCAAACTCTGAAAAGCTTGCCACCGCCACACTAGATGGTCAACAGAGGTTTCTGAGAGCTGTGCTTGGGTCCTGGGGACGTAGCTCAGCGGCACAGAGCCTGCCTGGCAAGCACAAGTCATGAGTTCGACTCCTGGTACAACAAAATAAAAAGAGGCATCGTTGGCTGGAAGAGTCATCTGTGCTCTGCTTGGACAACGCTAAAGAAATCTTGGCTGGAAAAAGAATGAGAAGTCTGTCTGCCGTCTTACGGACACAGCCTCTGCTGAGCACCCCCTGTGGGGGTTTGGGCACGAGACCCAGATTCCACGCAGCCCTTCTCTCACTGCACGGGGTGCGCGGGGCTGTAACGCGTCTCCCAGGAGCACGGGGCATGCTCGGCAAACTGGACCGACTGGTCCCGGCACCAAGCATCTGTGATGCCCCCCACCAGTTGTCTGCCACAGCAGGGCTCTCAGGAGCTCCTCACTGAAGCAGTCTCCAAGCTGCAGCGCTGGGCGAGGGGAAGAGGGCACGAACACAGCACCCTCCTTTGATTGCTGTGCAGCCATCAGCTCAAAGGACACCACACCTGCTGCAGAGCAGACGACAGGCCACGCTTCCTGCAAACCTCTTCCGGGGAAACTCCCACCTTCCTCCGTTTAGCTGGTGCTTAGAAAGCGTCTACAGGATGGAGGCCAAGGACCCGGCAGGGCCTGAAGAATCAGCTGGTGGTGGGGGTAACTTGGCCTCTTCCCGGCTTTGGGTTCAAACCTCTTCCGGGGAAACTCCCACCTTCCTCCGTCTAGCTGGTGCTTAGAAAGCGTCTACAGGATGGAGGCCAAGGACCCGGCAGGGCCTGAAGAATCAGCTGGTGGTGGGGGTAACTTGGCCTCTTCCCGGCTTTGGGTTTTCCATTTAGGAATCACTTCATCTCAGCAGTTAGCAAATCAATCAGTTCATTTGTTTCTACATTATTAAAAAAATGAATGCAAATTGCCTTTCATTTACTTAAGCTTCCCAACGGGTGTGTTTAGAAAAACAAGAAAATCCTGGACCATGAAAAGGCAGGAGGGGCCAACCAAGCAGCCTTGCAGATGCAGCCTACGCCAAGAGCGACTGGAGTTTGAAACCATCAGCTCTGCTGAAAAACCTGCACTTGGGAACTTTTCAGTTCCTGGGTGAGGAGGAAAGGCTGCTGTTGCCCTTGTGCCCTTTGCTTATTTTCTTTCACCCCAAAGGCTTCCTTTTCACCTCGCTCAGGTGTTTAACAGTGCTTTTCTAAAGCTTGGGGCTGAGAGAACAGTTCACTGAAGGAACCCTCAGATGTGTTTGTCTCTGGGCAGGCGCTGAGGCTGAGGGTGAACCCATGTGTCCCCCCGAGACAGTGCCTGGGATTCGGGACACACGGTCGGCCAGCCTTGGGAAGGCTCAGGCGAAGCGGGAAATTGCAGCCCCGAGACAGCAACAGCTCTGAAGACCTCCAGAAAGCCAAAGGACGGCCGGGGCCACGTTCTACCCAGAATCAGCGCACTGCTCGTGTTTGTCCTGTCCTCCAAGTTCAGAAGTCTCTGGCAAAGATCTCTGCCTACTCTGCAGAATTAGCCCAGGAGGATGCTTCTAGCGTGTTCCAGAAGCTGTGCTCCAAAGAGGCTGGGAAGTGCACAACTGCTCGAAAGCCCAAAGCCCAGCGTAGAGCCATCCAGCAGGAGATGGAAGGCCCGAGGCAGGGCTTCCGACGGGGCCAGCGCCCCAGGACGTGTGAGTACGTCACAGCGTGCCGTTCGTGCGTCACTCTCCCCGTGAGCCGTGAATCCTCAGGGACCCCATGAATTGGAGCCGCTGATCTGCAAGGACCAGTCTAGAGGCACTAAGGAAGGTGCCGGGGGAAACCCACGCAAGTCCTGCAGATTTGGGGAGCTCCAGGCACAGTGTTTCTTTACAAAAATCACCAATTCACCCCACTAATTTTTTTTTGTAAATCCTTCCAACTTTTTCTCTATGTTCCCGTAGTAGCCTTAAGCAGCAGCAGGAGGTATGGATTAGCATTACAGTGTATGTTTTGCACACGTGAGACCCTGGGCTCAAGCCACAGCACTGCCCAACAAACAGCCTCCAGACACGCAGAAGGGGTCACACCGCACGTGGACACGCAGATGGGGTCGCGCTGCATGTAGACACGTGGGCGGGGGTCACGCCGCATGGTGGACACGCAGGCGGGGGTCGCGTCGCACGTGGACACGCAGGCGGGGGTCGCGCCGCATGTGGATATGCAGGCGGGGGTCACGCCGCACGTAGACACGCAGAAGGGGGTCACGCCGCACATAGACACGCAGAAGGGGGGTCACACCGCACATAGATATGCACAAGGGGTTACGCAGTACGTAGACACGCAGGCAGGTGTCACGCCGCACGTAGACACCCAGACAGGATCACCCTGTCGTGCAGTGTTCAGAAGCTTTCCGTGGCTGATGGCGTGGCATGTGGGCCACCTGTACTGGCTTTTCAGGTCGACCAGGCACATCCTGCAATGAAGCCAGGCCCTTGCGTGCAGCCCTCGTTTCCACGGCTGCTGTGCCATTTGCTCTACGTGGTCCCTGATGCAGGAGCAGCGCGCAGCTGCGATCCCTCAGCAGCCACTCTGCGGGGGCCACGCTGCGCTGCGGAGCGGCGGTCCCAGCTACTTCCCAGGGGCAGATCCCTGTGCGCGGAGCGAGGACATACCTGGGGGCACTTGGCAGCGCTGTAGCAGTCCCCGGCGGTCGCAAAAGGGACAGGATGGCCTTCGCTTGTCCTCGCAAACTGTAAGTCGGTAGCTGCAGGGTGGGGAAAGGGTTCAAGGGAGAGGGAGAAGAGGCAAGGACAGGACGGCACAGCCACGAGACAGGAGGAAGAGCAGAAGCGGGCAGTGGGGGAGAGGCAACGTGAGGCATCAGTCGCAAGTGGGTCCAGGGGTGCGCTTCCGCCCCGCCCCATATCTGGTTCGGAGGGCCCCCTTCTCTGGGTTGTATCAGCACTGTCTCCTCGCAATTTGGGAGCCAGCAGGGGCTTGTGTGTCTTTGCAATCAGTCCTATGTACATAAATACGAGAACTGCCTCCCTTAAGTGAGGGGTAATTGGAGGATCGGAGACTTTCCCTCACACAGCCGGCTTAGGACGGCGGCGGGGAGCAGGGAAGTGGCTTCGGTCCCTGAAGTCCATCTGTCCTTCTGCAGCCTAGGCACTCTTGCTGCCAAAATGCGGAGCACTTAGAAGCCACGTCTTGAAATTGTTAGTAGCAGCTTCTCAAGTTCAGGGTGAGCACGAAGTTTAGAAAAAGAGAAGCCAGCGAGAATGACGCTGACCCAAAGCTCCGGGTGTTAACCTGCTGCGGCTCTGCGAGGAGCCCTGTGGGCTGGCTGCTGGCTGGGCAGGTCCCTGTGCCCGTCTCTGAGGGTGGCTGGGGCCTGCAAGGCCCCGCACTCGGGGTGACCCCGCGAGCCGCAGGCGAAGGCACCTCCCAGCCCTGAGGCAAGGCCGAGGCGTCTGTGCGTAGAGACCCGCAGCCCCTCGGCCTCCACCCCACCGGCCTGCTCCCCGCCCAAGGCAATTAAACTGTCTGCGCAAACCAAGTGTGAGCCACCTTGAGAGGAAAACAGCATTGATGAGGAACAACCACGCATTCATTATGTCGGCTTTCGTTCTACTCAGAACGCTCTCACATATTCTAGCTGTCTGTAACTGCTCCTGTGATAAATGTCCCAGCACAAACGCACTTGCACAGAGTGCAGCCCGGTAGGCCTGTTGCAGAGGGAGTGCTGGGCGCCATTTTTCTTCTGTGATCCACAGTCAGAAGAAATTAGTTTTCGAGGGGGCTGCTCTGCAAATTGCTTGGCTTTTGGGTTTCCTGGCTGCGGTTTTCTGTGGCCCCGAAACCTTGGCTTCGGTCTTTGCTGTTTCTCCCTGGCCAACACCCTCGCCCGGCTCACCCCTTCTGGCCCTAGGGTCCTAGTGTCACCACCGGTTCTCTGGGGGGCTACACTGACTGCACACTGCAGTGACGTCCTCTTCCATCCACCTGCATGCGCAGAGGCGGTGCCTGCCCTGTGTCAGGTGCTGCCAGGTGCTGGGACAGCATGGACCAAGGTCCAGAGCTGCCTGGGAAGGCTGCCGTAGGGCCCGAGCTCCTCAGCCGCACCCTGCATGCTCACGCCAGCCCTGGCCTGGTGTAGAGCGCATGCGCTGGCTGGGGAGCAGGGACTCACTTATGATCTGCATGCTGCCCAGGTCGATCCTGATTTTCTGGAAGCTGGAATACCCAGCGGCTGTGTAGCCCTTCCGACACTGGCAGTCGTCACGACGGCTTCCGTTGTAGGGACATTCTGTGGGGTTGTGCAGCCTGAAGAGTGGAGAGAAGGCCTGATGAGGGCGGGGATGCATTCCCATGGTGCTGGGCGGCCGCATGCCTGAGCCCGGCGCCTACCTGTGTCCATAAACCTCGGAGAAATTCTCAGAGTCGCTGTGCACGAGTGTCACATACTCCTTGGGGCGGCTGGACTGCATCCCTGCACAGAATATCTGAAAGACAGATGGACGCTGCTGAGGAAAAGTGCCTCCAAAATGCAGCGGGAGCAGCAGCCACTCAGCCTGGAAAGGTCCCCAGAGTGACAACTGCTAGGGACATTCTGTGCAAGGCCACCTGGGTGGCTCTCCTTGAAAGAAGAGCAGTTGTGCCCATTGTGGCCAAGCCTGGCTGCATTTCCACGTACCGACGTGGACAGAGCTGGCTAGGACTTCACCTTGTCCTCTGAACTAGATGCACACTGGGTCAGCCAGGGTGCTGATGGTAGTCTCTGAAGGTGGAGGGCAGTGTTTTCCTGGCCCCTTACAGCTCCCAAGCGAAATGTGTGGGCAGGGCCGGGGCGGAGGGCTGTGCTCACGCTGCTGCCTGGGATCGAGCCTCCACGTCAGAAGCTGTGACTTCGCAGAGCATAGAAGTTCGCACCGCAGAGCTGAAGCACCAGCCCCCGAGTCAGCTGCTGCCCCAGCTGTGTGACGCGGCTTCTTCCTCCTGCACACCCTTCTCTGCACATTGCCGAGGTGAGCACAGGCCTCCTGCCCAGCCCAGCCCAGCGCCCGGCGCTCACCTCCCTCCTGTCATTCTCAGTCACTCATCCTCCAGCCACTCCTTTCTTCATGAATGAATCAACCCCGGTTCTGCCCTGGGCCAGGGCCTTAGTTCCCGTTAGCCATCCTTGTAGCGGACGGGGAGACCCCTTGGCTCCCCACAACTACAGATACGTCCCAGTGCCTGTTCCCACCAGGGGTCAGCTGGGAGTGGTAGAGTGGAGTTAATGTGCTAGAATTCTAGTAACTTTTCCATGGGGTCACAAGTCTGAACTTCACGGAGCACGATGAAGACCGGGGAGGGTTTGCCGTAGCATTCACCTTTAGGAGCTTTCCTCTAACGATCAGGAAATATTCGCCGTCTTCACTGGTCCCAGCCAGGTCTCGGACCTCCTGGCAGTTCTGGGGCAGCTCGCCTGAAGGAGACCAAGCACAACAGGCAGTTGCTCATACCATTTACACTGAAACGTTTCAGCCAAGGGAGGATTTCTTTAAAGACAATACTACATGTTTGAAGATAGCAGATAATGAAATAAACAAAGAAATGCAGCTCTTTGAGCTAAACACAAGCGGCCTCAGCTGGCAACTTACAGTTGTAGGTGCTGTGGCAGGTTTTCCGTTCTTCTGGTTTCAGATCAGGGGGACACAAGTGGCTGGGTTGGCCCTCGTTGGTTAAACACTGCACAGACCTGTGTGCCACGCCGACACCACACGACACTGAGCACTGCGAGGCAAAGCACGGTCAGCAGGCAGCCTGGGCTTGCGGGGAGGGGACGGTCCTGACCCCACTCTGCCGCCGACACAGGCACTCGCTGTGGGGCAGTCTCTGGGCCAGGCTTCATCTGTGCGTGCGCATATGCACGTGCCCGGACACAAGAAGGTACGCAGAGTAGGTGTCCAAAATTATGTGCATGTACGTATATACATACACGTGACCTGATCAAAACAGTCAGTGTTTTAAGATGTACAGTACGAGACATGCTGCCAGGAATCCCCCTCGAAATATTTCCCCGCAGTGCCCAGACACACCCAAGGCTCCAGCCTAGCCTCTTCTGTAGCCGTCCTGGCGTCTTCTGTGAACAAGGGGTGATAAAACCCAGCGAGCACAGCTGCCCGGGCCCTCCACAGACGCAGGCATACGCAGACAGCACTGTGTGTGTCGTCCGCCTGCGTCCCTGATCGAACACTGCAACTCTGTCTCTCCCACAGTCAGAATGACCACGAGAGGCAAACACATTGGATCGATCTAGGACCCTGAGGCAACTGGGACAGAGCAGCTAAGACACTCCGAGAGGGCTTCCAGCTCTGCTTCAGAAAGTGCAAGAACATGGCCTAAACGGGTTTGAAACTAGGAGCTGGGTTCTGAGAGGGATTGCTGTGATAAATTTTTTAAAAATTTAAACATTCACTGTACTTTTCTGTGAGACTTCATGACACAAGATTTTCTTCATCCAGGCCCCTCTGAGGTAGAGCCATCACCCTCTTATGTTGCAGGCAGGAGACTGACACCGACACGTCAAGGAGTCTGCTCAGGACCCTCAGAGCCCAAAGCCCGAGGCCGTGGCAGCCTTCTGGGGCAGACTCACTTGGAATTATTCTGTCTTGCTGTACCCTAATTCAGTGATGTTCTCCCAAAACAGGAAAATGAGAACATGCAGGCTCCTTATAAGAGAAGCAACAGAGTCTCATCCTATGCAGTAGCTTCTTGAGCCTTTGGAAGCTAAGGTAAAGGAGGCAGTGTGCGACCTGCCTGTGTGGCCCAAGGGCCCTCTGTGTCTTGGCTCACTGGGCTCCGCAGCGCACATTCTGCAGCTTGCCCTGGGCCTTGCAGGAGCTGTGGATGGGTCAGCTCCAGGCCGCAGCTTCAGAGCCTGCGCTCTGCTGCGCACCAGGTCACCACCCCTTCTCCTCCCATCCCTGGGTCAATGCTGACAACCATGCGGCACACTTCCTGTGGGGCCCGAGCTTTCGAATTGGGCCACCCGGGCCTCTACTTACGCTGCCCCAGTTGCCGACTCTCCAAGTGGCAGAGACAGGGCATTCTGGCAGGTAGCAGGGCTGGACACTGGGAGGCTGTGTGCCTGGACAGTGGGCCGAGGTCTGGTAACTGTACACGTAGTTCTCCTTGCCGGTGTAAATCTCGCTGCAGGAGACCAGCCTCTGTTTGTAGCCCTTTCCACAGGTCACTGAGCACTGCAAAGGGAGAGACCAAAAGTACTGCTTTGCGCAGCCCCAGGACAGACAGACTGGGATTGCCGCCTTGTGCCGTGCATGTGCCTGGAGCCCAGGACGGAGCCGGCAGCAGCCATCCAGGCCAGCTTCCTTGGGAGCGGCCGCTGGAGCCCTTCTTTGGGTGGGTGTCCAGGACAGCAGGACAGGAAGGGCCCTGGCTGTCAGCATGGTGCTCCTCCAAGGCTATGAGGCCCAGGGAAGGAAGCCACCAAGGGTGTGGTGGGAGAGGGCCGCAGCCGACCTCGGGCAGAACTTGGCATGTGCGCCCAGGCACTTAGCCTGCAGGGGCCCTGGGCAGTGTATCCCCCCCCCCGGGGTTATGGGTTTTTATTTATTTATTTCTCTTTGGAATCAGGACTGGTGTGGCCAGGCAGGTGCCGTGATCTGAGTTGTATCCCTGGCGCCATATTTGTTTTATTCTTGCAAAGCAAACAAAATTTACTTATGTGAAGGCCTGCTTTTTATTGTGGCACATAGCTCCTTGGTGTCCTTTTTTACATAAAAAGTTGGTAGACATTACCGAGCAGCGGCTCGTTCTGTCACACGGCCACGCCTTACAGATGCTTTGTGTCGTTCACTCCTCCTCCCTCCTTCACTCTCCCTCTCCTCCTCTTCTCAAAAGTCTTCCTCCTTCGACTTCTCTGTCACTTCAGTTTTTAAAAAAATTCTACTTGGGAAAACATATGCTCTATCTGGCCTCTGATTCTGGCTTGCTTTCCTTAGCAGGATGCGCTCCACTCCTGCCGCTTTCTTTCTTGTGGTTGGATAGTGCTCCACTGTCCACGAACCACACCATCCTCATCCAGCACCTGGGCGGTTCCCACAGGCAGCGACTGTGGCATGTGCTGCCCTCCGTGTGGGCGGGCACACAGGCAGCGACTGTGGCATGTGCTGCCCTCCGTGTGGGCGGGCACACAGGCAGCGACTGTGGCATGTGCTGCCCTCCGTGTGGGCGGGCACACAGGCAGCGACTGTGGCACGTGCTGCCCTCCGTGTGGGCGGGCACACAGGCAGCGACTGTGGCACGTGCTGCCCTCCGTGTGGGTGGGCACACAGGTAGTACTCTAATATGTTGCTTAGTTCTTTGGGGAATATACCAAAGCATGGCCGGCCAGCCAGATGGTACTGCTATGACGCCAGTTGCCTCAGTGGCGGCACTAATACACATTCCCACCAATGGAGAAGAAGGGTTTCTCCCCCACTTCCATCCCCCACTCTCACCAGCATTCATTGCTTTTTTATTTTCTTGATGTCAGCCATGCTGATGGCGGTGACCTCAGCGTAGTTCGGATTTGCATTGCTCCAGTAGCTACAGATGGCGAGCTTTGGTGTCCATATATTCTAGATATTAATCCTCCAACGGAGAGTGGCTGGTGAAGACTTCTCTCACTTCGGAGGCAGCCTGGCCCCTTCCTTGCTGTGAAGCAGCATTCTCACTGGATCAGCCCCACTGGTTGCTGCTGTTCTTTCTTGTGCGACTGGAGTCTTACGAGGTCTCTGCCCACACCTTTGGCATCAAGCCTTTGTCCTACATTTTCTTCTAGCAGTTTCAAAGTTTCAGGTCTTAGACTCAAGTCTTTCATCCACTTTGAACTCATTTCTGCACCAGGATACCCGTCTCCCAGCACCATTTAAAGACACCATCTGTCCCTTCTCCAGGGCAGGCCAGGGCCTTCCATCCAGAGTCAGATGGTCAAGGCTGTGTGGGCTTGTGTCCACATCCTGTCCTACCACAGTGGTCTACATGGCTGTGCTTTGGTGGCTGGCATCCTGACCAGCCTGTCACTCTTCTGCTTTTCCATTTTGTTCTCTGCCTAACGCAGTCGCTGAACCCTTTACCACCACTCTACATCACTTAAAAATCTTTAGTCAGTACAGAAATGGAGGAGGAGAAACCCGTATCTCAAACTCCTTGCTGTGACAGGACACTGAATTATTGATAAAGTTTCACCATATGTGCCACCTCCCTATCCAAGTATTTTATCAGTTACTATTTAAAAATAAAACCGAGTTATAATTCCTATAGTTACGGTAAGCCGTGAACTCATCCCTGAGTAAAACCAGGGTGCACACAAGCACCCTGTGGACCCCAAGCTCTCCAGGGAGGGCTAGGCGAGCTCCCAGAAGCAGCAGCCCAGCATGTTGCTTTGCTCAACCATGCGAGGGTGGGGCCTGGAAGCCCACGACTACCCTTCCCTGGCATCTGCTGCCCTGTTGCTTTAAGCCACACAGCTTCCTCTTCTGTGACACTGCCAAAGAGTCCCTGAGACGGAGGGGCGGGGAGCCGAGGCAGAGGCATGCGCAGCAGCTGGGGCCACCCCTGCCAGCTGGCACGAGCCCTGGAGACGCGGCGCAGATGTTTCTTCCTTCTTTGGCCGCTGCTGCTGAAATGCCTGAATGCCCGGCTGGCCAGGTCAAGGAAGTGCAGTGAGCCCAGCGCCTGTGCAGACAGATGCCCACGAGCAGCCTGGTCCCTCGCGGTGTCCCCTCGGGCCTGGCCCAGCACACGCACGCGCTGACGTCAGGCAGCACTCACTTCAGCTAGCAGCACGTGTGAGATGCCGGGTGCCAGGACCTTTTGGCTCCCACCTGACCCGTGGGAGCCAAAGCAGCCGCTGCCGTTTATGTGGGGGACACCATGAGGTGGGCTTCTGCCCCAAGTATGGTCCGCTTGACTCAGCGGCCTCTGCATCTCTGAAAAGCAGTTGGAAAGAACAGATCCTCCCAGCTGTGACCTCCTCCAGCCGTCTCCCACTCGGCGGAAGTGTGCAAGCAGCCCTTCCCTGCGGGCAGGCACAGGTACAGACGCTCGGTCTTCCGTGCACAGTTCTTCATGGGCTTTTCTCCCTTTTCATCTTAAAGTAACAGCACAGCGAAGTAAATCCGGCAGCATGCGTGATCCAAGCAGCTTCTGCACCCTCCCGGCCGTACCTGGCACACACATGTGTGCCTGGGGTGACAAGGCCCTCCATGTCCCAGCACACGTGTCCAGGTGACAAGGCCCTCCATGTCCCAGCACGCGTGTCTGGGTGACAAGGCCCTCCATGTGCCAGCACGTGTGTCCGGGTGACAAGGCCCTCCATGTGCCAGCACG